AAATTTTGTTTATAGAGATAAATTGTGTGTTTTTTTCCAGTTCAAAGCTAATAGACTTTGTGTATTCTGAAAAATAATTATTTTATACATTTATTTATCTTGAAATGATGTGGGTGTAGTATATAAGCCAGTATTTTTAAAATTTTAGATAGGTAATGAAATATGAACATACCCTCAGGTATATATATGTAGTGTTATATATATGGTACTGCTACTTGAACGGAATTTCTGCTAATAGATATGAGGTGAATTTAAGATAACTGACTTTGGTTTCCATTTGTTATGTTGTCCTGAAAGCCAGTCTCCCATCTTTTCCTGATGAGTTTTTGAATATCATGTTAATATTAGGGAATTCATTACAACCAGATGTCTTGCTTGGTGGGTTTGTGTATCCATTTAATGATAATTGTGGCATTGAGGTTTTAACTACATTCACTTGATTAAACATTCTCAAGTCGGGGTATAGCAAGAGACTCATTCCCCCAACATAACGTTCCCTCGTGTCTGGCATGGGAATGAAACTCTAACAGAATTTAAGTAGACCTCATAGGGCTCTGGCTTGTGTGGTGCAGAAAGAAGCAGCAGGATGGAGGTGGTGGCCTGCTGTTTCTCTGGTTCTGTATCTGGCCAAACTCTGCATCTGGTGTTTCCCTGGAAATCTGGTGCCAATGTCATACAATGCCACATCTGTTTTCCACAAATGTCTAAGCACCGAGTTCTTACATTCCTGGCCTGGAAACCTGGCATCTGGTGTTTCCAAAAATAAGTTTGAGATTTCAGCGAATTTGGGGTTAACAAACCCTTCTTTAATTTTGCTGTTTAGGAATCAAACGGTTGTTTTGCTCTTTCACTTTGTAGTTTTAAAAGGTAGTTTGAGCCAGGTTCTGTTGCTACGCATTTGTACAAATAACCCATTTCAGTGTCGTCGTAAATATTTGCCATTAATTCTAATCTGAATGTTGAATATGGAATCATTGGTGTGAATACTTTCAGTCACTGTAAATAAAATGGATATACTCTCATTGAAGACAAATTCTGTATTTAGAACCCTCAAATCAGGGGACTGTCTGGATGTATCAGACCCCCAACGTGTATTTCTTTATTCAGTTTTTATAGCAATGCTATATAAGGTAGATAGTACTATCTTTTCATAAATGAGGAAATGGAGGTCTAGATGAATTAAGGACCTTGCCAGTAGTCATACAGCCAGTAAATGGATCAGCAAAGATTCTCCCCCAGTTCTGACTCTTGGTGCCCACATCATCATCATCACCTTTGCAACATCAGACCTGCTCTGCCAAGTGTGGCCATTCATGCTCTTTGAGATCCTACATTGTATGACAGCAAATTAACTGTAAAATATAGTTTACTCCAGAATCTGTTTTTAGCTTTACGTTTTCTGTAACAATATATTTCTACCTATTGAATTTCTATGCTATTGTTTTTTTCAATGCAGTTTATAGGGGTTTAAAGGTTGAAGTTTGGCATGTTCCCGACTCGTGCTTATTTTTCAAAATGAGAATAGTACTCACAATCAGATTGTAGTTAACAGGTAATTTAATTTTCTTGAAAGTTTAACACTCACATTCCATCCCACTTTACAAAATTTTTATATGCCTGCTAGTTATTTTTAAGCATGCATTTTCTTGTAATTAACTTTTTAATAGGTAATATGTTCGGTTGCCTTCAAATTCAAGAGGTATAAAATAACAATAGTAATAACAGTTAGTTAACTGGGAGTATGTATCTGCTCTGCCTTCTTCGCAGAATTGTTAAGAAAATCAAATAAGAGTTCATAGCTGTTTGTAAGCTTCAGAGCCCTACACTAACAGATATTAAATCAGTGATGGAGTGTATATGCTTATTGAAGACCAATGCTTTTAAAGCTTTGGACGTTAGCAGAAGGGTTGGAATACAGGACAAATAGGTTCTTGACAATCCAGTGTGTCACTGTGTTCTGACCAGCCTATTTTTAACCACTAGTCTTAATAATTTCAAATGGTTTTTGTATAATCTGACTGCATGCTTTTTTTTTTTGCTCTGCAGAAGGCAGAGAGAAATGTTTGTATCCTGATATTTAAGTGCTGTAGACTCATACTGTCTAGATTCTACAACTGGTTCTGCTGTCTAATTCAGTGTTTCTCAGTATTGGCTATGTATGAGAATCATATGGTGGTAGTTTTGTTTTGCTTTTTTTTTTTAACTGAAAATCCTTAGGCAAGCCCTCTGATTCATGGGATCAGAGTCTCAGGCTGGGAGGAAGAGATCAACACAGGTAATTTTGATGAGCATCTAGGAGCGAGATACGTTCTAAACATGTTCTAAAGACTGTGTGAAAAGATGGCTTAATGTCACCACAAATATTTTTAGTAAGAAATGCAGTTGTTTCCTATTTAATAGCTTTCAAGAGCACTGACATTTATTTTGTTACTCTGCTGTACATTTTACAGTCCATTTGTGCCGGTGAGTTCAGGGGATACTCTAATTACTCAGAACCATATGGCCATGGCAAGCAGCTGATAAATGGGTTACAGTTTCTTTCCAGGCTACAAAATCATCTTTGCCTTGCTTGGGAGAAATCTGGGGCCTTGAGCCAACCCTCACTTGTTTTATTTTTAACAGAAGTCGCAGCTTTATATGTAGATACTTCACGACTTGCTTGTCGAAGTGAGGTACCATCTCTTCAGGCTGGAGCCTTGATAAGGCTCATCAGTTTCCATCCAAGGTTGTCAGTCTTACCATCTGCTAGTCTGATGGTCTGAGTCTGTATCTCCGCCCTGAGTAACACGCGGTACCTGCAGGCCAGGCCCCCATCAGAGAATAATAAGCGGGAGTAGTCTGATAGCCAGGTCTGGTCAAAAGCTGCATCACAGAGAATTGTTTGAAGAAGATGCAGCCTGACTGTTTTATTCTAGAGGTACCCCCATATCAAGCTGAGCCATCAGAAAGCTGTTTCTAAAATATCTTACCTGGCTCCCCCTACTTTATTTTCTGATTTATAAAAGAGAGTTTGGATTTCTAATCACATGCCCTGGGAGTTTCTCCAATAGTTACATTATCCAGCAGGAGCATTGGTATAGATAACTGAGAATCTGTTTTCTTTAATTTGATAATTATAAGTTTAACTCGATACCAATATGCTAAAACTTATTAAAATGGGGCAGATTGGAAAAGTTTGATTCTCCTCCTCCATATAGTACTGTTTTTTGTTAGGTGGGCTTATGATACAAAGTGGAAGTATATCACCTTCCAAGTATTTCACAACACCTAGCATGTCTCTGCATCTTTTATATTCCTGGCTCAATTTCTGGCTTGTTTCTCCCAACAAAATTAACCATTGTTCTTTCATCAGAAAAAATCATACTCAAGTTACAAATGGGTCATTTCTTCATTCTAACTAAAAACTTGTACATTTTTAAAAATATGAAGTGAAACTTTTCTGCAGTTTGTGAATGGAAACCCTCTACGAATGGGGAAAATTTGTTATAATGTTGTTTTATTCCACTTATTTTATCAACCAGGAATGTATTAGTATCAGATGACAAAAACCTGAAGGATAGTTTAAATAGACAGGGATTTGTTTTAACAAATCTCTTGCTAATGCCATCAGAGAACAAGATTCTTCCTATTTATTTTCTCCTCACTCTGGCATCCTTACAGTACAAGAATTTGTCCTCAGGCTTTTCATCTCAAGGATGCTTATTACATTCTAAAATGGCTTTGTGCTTCTAGATGTTGTTTCCCGAGAAGATGGAAAGGCAAGGAATGAAAGTCTTTTCTTTGAAGATGTGTCTCTCCACCCCCCTTCTCTTGCCCCCCAGGCCAGGAATTATTTATATTTTATTGACCATAAGTATGACATATGTTCACTCCTAGCTGCAAGGGAGATAGGAAAATAGTACTTTTGCTTTTAGCTTGTACAACAGGAGAGACAAAGAGAAGACCTGTGAATTGTTTCTTTCACAGTCTCTGCCAGAAGTGTCCTTCCTGAAAGTGGACCAATATTTTTTGCAGTCGTCTTTAGTATGGCTACTTTTTCCTAGTCATAATTTAATTTAGGAATTCAGAACACATTTAATCTGAACCTGTTCACATAGATAATTCATTTTTCAAGGTACAGATTAATTATATTTTTAAGGTGTGAGATGGTTGATAAATCAAATTCCAGAACCCTTATGGCTAGATAATATATTGCAAACTTTAATGCTTAGAAGGCAGACTTTGTAGCCTTTTGAACAGTTTCTAATTTTGGTAGATCAAGCTGAACATAGTGGCTGTAGGTGCTGAACCAATGGCAGCTTTCATACGAAAATAGCATTAGAGGAGCTTTTAAAGAATCTAATTGAAGGAAGAAGAAAGTAATAAAATATTGGAAATGAGATAAAATTGTAATATAAGTAGCGCTTTTGGTTGAGACCAAATGAGGAAAATAATGTGACAGAGCAGAGGTAATGACATACAGCAGAACAAAGAGTGAGCAGTCAGACGGCTTGGGTTTCAGTCCCTTTCTACCATGTACAGCCAGCTGCACTTTCCGCCTCACTTTACCTTTTTGAGCCTCGGTTTTCCCTTCTTTTCATCTAAATAGTAATTATACCAGCCTCACAGTGTCATCTGGCTCCCCCAACTGGAAAACGGCTGGGCACATGGTAAGGATTAGTTCACTGTTAGTTCCCTTTTTTAAATGGCTAAAGGTGAAAAAGTGCCTAACTGTTAACAGGCCTATGTAGTTCAAGATCTATGTCCTAGTCAACTTATGTTTCATGTGAAGAGACCCTTGCTTTATTAATAGCCTGTCAAGCTTCAAATGCTATCGTGTTACCATGGATTGAAAGTGACTACCTTTTATAAAACCACTCTCAATCCATTTTTAATGAAATAATTCCATCTTTATATGTTGTAGTAAAATTTGATGAGATTTATTAAATTTTAGAGAATATAAATGCACTTTCAAAAATCCATATTTTTGTTTATAATTTTTCTGTTTTTCTCCAAACTAGGATTTTAAGAGTGGACTTGGTATTACCATAATTCCTATGAATGTAGCAAATGTAAAGCAAGTGGACCGAACTGTGAAACAGTCTTTTGAAATAATCACTCCCTATAGGAGTTTTAGGTAAGTTATATTTAAACATTTTTTGTTTGTACTACTACAGGAAATCTTGAGTGATCCCCTTGTACGTTGCCAGTGGTGATTTTACTTCTTATAGGATACTTAATAAAATTATGTTCTTACTTTTTCATATTGTATAATTTATTAGCCAGTATATAAAAATGTGCCAATAGGCACATGAAAAGATGCTCAATATCACTGATTATTAGAGGTACACAAATCAAAACCACAGTGAGGTATCACCTCACACCAGTCAGAATGGTCATCATTAAAAAGTCTACAAATAATAAATGCTGGAGAGGGTGTGGAGAAAAGGGAACCCTCCTGCACTGTTGTGGGAATATAAATTGGGGCAGCCGCTATGGAAAAGAGCATGGAGGTTCCTTAAAAAACTAAAAATAGAGTTACCACATGATCCTACAATCTCACTCCTGGGCATATATCTGGAGAAAACTCTAATTTGAAAAGATACGTGCACCCCAGTGTTCACTGCAGCACTATTTACAATAGCCAAGACATGGAAGCAACCTAAATGTCCATGGAGAGATGAATGGGTAAAGAAGATGTGGTGTATATATATAATGGAATATTACTCAGCCATAAAAATAATGAAATCTTGCCATTTGCAGCAACACAGATGGACCTAGAGATTATCATACTAAGTGAAGACAAAGACAAATATCATATGATATTGCTTATATGTGGAATCTTAAAAAAATGATACAAATTAACTTATTTACAAAACAGAAACAGACTCACAGACATAGAAAACAGACTTATGGTTACCAAAGGGGATGCTGGGGAGGTAAATTAGGAATTTGGGATTAACATATACACACTACTATATATAGAATGGATAAACAACAAGTACCTACTGTATAGCACAGGAAACTATATTCAAGTACCTACTGTATAGCACAGGAAACTATATTTAATATTTTGTAATAACTTATAATGGAAAAGAATATGAAAAAATATATGTATATATATATAAAACTGAATCACTCTGCTGTACACCTGAAACAAAGAAAAAGTTTATGTTTTTACTTTTTCATATCGTGTAATTTATTATCCAGTGTATAATAACACCTTGAAAAAGTGATTTGAATAATCATACAACCTGAAAGATACTAATTTCATGAGATTTGTGTAGTTTCTTTTCATAATACCTCTTTTTCTTAGAAGGCTTGGTGATTTTTGATCCAGAAACATGTGAAAAATTACTTTATTTTGAAGGTATATAAAATAAAAAGAGAGATTACATTGTCTTTAAGCTGTATTGTTATTTTGCCCTCTTTTAGCCTAACCAAATACAGTCTGTCCTTTAAGAGCAATCCCTAATTACAACTGCTCCGTGATTTCCTAAAAGTAACCTCAGGTCAAAATGTTGCTGAATTTAATGGATCTCATAGCACGTATGATCAAATACCTTAGCATTTTGATACATGTCTTGTATTATGGCACTCTGGTAATTGCTTTATTATGACAATGAAACAGAAAACTTAATGTGTGTTCTTAATATGTGTTAATAATCTGTAATGACTCTCTGGGTGCACCACTCTCCCAGCACCTCAATGTGTTCATCACCCCGAAAGCTCTTCGAACCCTGTTGTTTGGGGGATTTTTTTTTTTTTTTCCGTTGGCATGTGGGATCTTCCTGGACCGGGGCACAGACCCGTGTCCCCTGCATCGGCAGGCGGACTCTCAACCACAGCACCACCAGGGAAGCCCCATGTTTGGGGGATTTTATGGAGGTTTCATTTCATAGGTAAGATTGATGAAATCCTGGGCCATTGGTGATTAACTCCACCAGCCTCTCTCTCCTTCCCAGAGGTCACGGGGTAGGGCTGGTTGAAAGTTCCAAGTCTGTAGTCACATCTTGGTCTTCTGCTGACCAGCTCCCATCCTGAAGCTGTCTAGCCTTCAGCCACAAGCTATCTCATTAGCGTATAAAGGACTTTTATCATTCAGGGTATTCCAAGGGTTTGGGAAACTATATACCAGGAACCAGGGACTAAGACCAAATATCTATTTTCTATTGTACCATATGGGCTCTGACCAATCTCTATAGAGAAGCAGAAACCACTAAGGAATTTATCAATATTATAGTGATGATGGAACCATGAAGTGATTCAAAAAATATAATCCATGTAGGCCACTCAATTTCTTTATAGATTACAGAGAAAATGTTAATCCTCTGTTGTTTTCATTGTCTCTCAAAGCATTTTCATCTTCAGAACAGAAAATTTCAGTATTAAGCATCATTTTGTGGGTCACTGACTGAGTTTGGAGCACTTGTATGTAGCACATTTTCTGGCACATTATAAGTACTCAGTAAATATTTCTTGAAAGAGTGAACTGATGTTTTAATGTTTTATTCCTTCACTCAGGCACCCAATAAACACTAAGAATTACATGGCTAAAAATGAGTTAGAATTCTGTTAGAATACTAATCACTTAAAACTTTTTTGATTTCTCAGTTTCTTAAAGCCATCTGGACATTCTTCTATTTTAAAAACAAGAATCTATTTTTAAGACAAAAAATCAAAATTTCTCGTGGGTGTTTTTGATAACTTAGTTTCAGACTATGGCATATTTTCTTGGCAAAATAAGCCAATGGTCCTGAAACTCTGCCAGTCTCTTATTGATTATTATGTAACCACTGCTTAGGAAGCATGACTTCTCTTTTAAGCTTTTGACCTAACAAGGTGATTTTTATATCCTGGTCAGAAACGTGTGTATGTTAATTTTGGTTCAGGATAGGTAGACAAAGTCATAAGCAATGTGGAAAGTTAAAGGAAAAAAATAGATTTCTCAATGAGATGATTTTTAACAGAAAAGACTCCAACCGCCTGGAAGGCATATTTTTCAGCAGCTGTTTAATTTATGAGTGAAATGAATATGCAAACTGAACATACTGCTTAATTGGCTTTTACAAGGGAGATCGATAATGCAGAAACGTTCATTGTTTCAGCTTTACAGCCGAGTCTGAAAAAGAGAAACAAGAGTGGATTGAAGCTGTGCAGCAATCGATAGCAGAAACTCTCTCTGATTATGAAGTAGCTGAGAAGATTTGGTTCAATGAGTCCAACAGGAGCTGTGCAGATTGTAAAGCCCCAAATCCTGACTGGGCATCCATCAATCTCTGTGTTGTCATCTGTAAGAAGTGTGCAGGTAATTAGTGATAAGTTATACTCATCACTGTTTGGTGACAGATTGGCACTGAATGCTCTTTAGTGTCGTATATACTGTGTCCCACCTAATGGCTATGAAAAATAAAGACAGAGAAAATTTATTACATTTAAATCAAATTTAGAAATATCATTCTAAACTTCTCTTATGCATGACTTAAATATAAAAATTGATTTTTAAGCATGTAATCATTTTTTTGTGCCTGCTGGCCCATGTATGGATTTTAAAAAGACAATGCTGAAATTTTTAGGTTTTGGATGAATGTGTTTCAGAATGCACCCTGAACACGCTTGCACTTCGTATGATTTGTCCCTTTTTCCTCAGTCATATTTTGTAAGATCTATTTTTCACATCAATCTGCTCTGTGCTCTAATCTTGGTTCACCAGATCTGAATTTTTATATAGAAGCATTTTCCAGGTGTATTGAAGTTTATGAAAGTAACCAGTACTGTGACTAATTTTCTTCTTGTGATCTTATACCTTACAAACTATTTGACAGCTCCTTGTATTTGGGAGGTAAGACAGCTGTCCAAGTGAGTAGAGGGAATGGACCCTAGCTTAGGTATGCGACCGTGGAGGTCTTGGAAAAAGTTAGCTACAACCTAAACTTTCCTTCAGCTTTTCAGCTCTACCAGGTACTGTGCTGTTCCTGGGAATTGAAATGCTCTGTAAGACAAGACATGACATTTCCTGCACAAATATATAAATAGTAATTGCAATAGAGTGTGATAAGGGCAGGAATAGTGTTGAGCACAGGTTTCACTGAGAGAATGCAGAGGAAGAGCACCTCAGAGCAAAGACAGGACAGCTGCTTCAAGCCCTTCAGACTTTTCTAGAGCTCTGTGCTACCACATTTGTCATCACACTGAGCTGATCACCTACATCAATAACAAGCATCAGTTAATCCTCCTTGACTTCGTATTTTTTCCTAACCTCTTCTCCTCTCCAGTCTCACTGGAAGAGATAGCGTTTGTGTTGTTTAAGGCTGCTCTGTCTACATATGTTCCCTTCCTTTCCTCTCTTCTCAGGATCCTCACCCTGTCACTTATTCACTCTCTGTGTAAGTACAGTTGGTCCTCCATATTCATGGTTCTACATCAAACAACTGTGGATCAAAAATATTTGAAAAACAAAAATTTACAGGAAGTTCAAAAAAGCAAAATTTGAATTTGCATGTACCAGCAACTATTACATAACATTTTATTGTATTAGGTATTAAAAGTAATCTAGGGGGGCTTTCCTGGTGGTGCAGTGGTTGAGAGTCCGCCTGCTGATGCAGGGGACACGGGTTCGTGCCCCGGTCTGGGAGGATCCCACATGCTGCGGAGCAGCTGGGCCCGTGAGCCATGGCCGCTGAGCCTGCGTGTCCGGAGCCCGTGCTCCACAACGGGAGAGGCCACAACAGTGAGAGGCCCGCATACCGCAAAAAAAAAAAAAGAAAAAAGAAAAAAAAAAGTAATCTAGACATGAATTAAAGTATACAAGGATGTGTGGGGGTTATATGTAGATACTATGGCCATTTTATACAAGGGACTTGAGCATCCTCGGATTTTGGTATCTGTGGGTGGTCCTAGTGCCAATCCGAGATACCGAGGGACCACTGTATTGAACTATGGTTTATTTGGTTCAGCATATAAACTTGCATAATTCTGTTAACACCAGCTTTCGGAAAACTTACTATTCTCTTACGTATCATTCTCTGTTCCTTTTTCCTTTCATAGACAAGACACTTTCAAGCGTAGTGGTCTGCACAGGTTTTCTTCATTTCTTTAACTTCCTAGTGTATCATCAGCATCCTGTACTCAGTCTTCGTTTCTCTTGCCTCCAGTAAAAATATTTTCACCACATTTACCAGTGTATTTTACCTCTCAGTTTCTGTGTGGTCAGTTCCTATCTTCTCTGCCTTCTCTGCAGTATTTGACACTCTTGACCAATCTGTCGCTCAGTGACTTTCCATCCTCCCACAACTTCCGACACACCATTTTCTGTTAGTGTGCTCTTACTACTCTGGTCATCCTTTTCCAGGTTACTTTTCCTTTGCCTGCTCCTAAAATATGTGTGTTCCCTTGGATTATATCCTAAGCTTTCTTTCACTCTGATGTTCCTGAGTGAGGTTGTCATTTGAATTCAATACTCATTTTTAAGCAGAGGATTCTCACTCTGTTGGAAACTCTACTCTTATAGCTCCTGCTAGATTCTCAACTTGGATTTGCCCAAGATACCTCAAAATTAACATGATAAAATGGAGCTCTCATTGCTGCCCAGCTCATTACATTAAACTGTATATTCTCCTATATTCCAAATCTTGGTCAGAAGCAATACTATCTACCATACACTGAAGCCTAAACCTTGAGAGACCCTCTTGACCCTTCCTCTTTCCTTAAAGCCCACCAGGTCCCATCAGTTTTATCTTCTGAATATCTCTAAATCTGTTCTCCACATTATTTCTTTTCCTGCTGCCTCAAGTCAGATTCTTTCCTAGGCTACTCCAGCATCCCTTCTTCCTGCATGCTTTTGAGCTTGACTCCTTTTGGTGTTGCCTTTCTGTAGTCTTCATAAGTGCAAACCTATGCAGGTTCTTGCCATGGTAATTCTAGGGCTTTGTGCTCTGAGTAGTTTCCTTCTCAAGGAATGGAGGAAAGGAACCTATGTAATGTAGAGAAAGGAATGAGAGGAATGAGCTTTCTCATGCACATTAGGCAAAAGGTCCTTAACATCAAGGATGATGTCTTATATACCTTTTTTCTATCTCAGCTTAGAAAGAGTCTGACATATGCCTGAATGCCCAGTAATGGCTGAATGATGATTTATACAGCAGAATTAAATTGATTATGATAGAATGCTGGGCATTCTCTTCCAGGCATAATAGTAGAATAAAGAATCGACTTTAGATTTTTAAGTAGGCATTTATTACAGTTGTAGCTAGTTTTTTTTAAGAGTAAAGGGATGATATCTGTATTCACTCACATAGGTATAATTTACACAGACCCATTATAAAATGTTTTCAGTGACCTACAATTTCTAGTTAATTACCAAACAATGAAAAAATATACATATACGTATATACACATACATACATGCACACATACATGCATATGCACGCACACATATACACACATGTACCTGTATACACACTTTTTAAAAGTGTAATTTTATACCAGTACAGGGTGGTGATGGTGATTTCTGTTATCTTCAGTGTGGTTGGTTATGATTCCTGTATGATTACCACCACTACTGTAGGGTGGAAAGTAGGTATTAGTTTGTTTTAAGTTCAAAAGATATATTAATCCACACATACCTATACACGTACATATACACTTTTCTTTTTAAAGGTAAAAAGTTTACATACAAATTCAAATAGAAATCAATTGTTTTTTGACTTCAGGGCAACATAGATCTTTAGGACCAAAAGATTCCAAGGTTAGAAGTCTGAAAATGGATGCCAGCATTTGGAGCAATGAACTCATAGAGGTGAGTCCGACTTGACTGTGGTGGTGGTCAGCAGAGGTCCAGGAGGAGGTGTGCAGTGGGGTGGTGTGGTTACTTTAAGAGCTCTCTGATCAAGTTCTCACCACATTATAAAAATGGCTTATAGCCTGTTTGATAGTAGTAACTTTCTACTTTAACTTTCCAAATGCTTCCTAAATGAGACAGTTATTTTAAAAATAAAAAATACAAGGAGCTTTAATAGTAATAACTACTCGGGGCTTCCCTGGTGGCGCAGTGGTTGAGAGTCCGCCTGCCGATGCAGGGGACACAGGTTCGTGCCCCAGTGCGGGAAGATCCCACATGCCGTGGAGCGGCTGGGCCTGTGAGCCATGGCCACTGAGCCTGCGCGTCCGGAGCCTGTGCTCCGCAACGGGAGAGGCCACAAAAGTGAGAGGCCCGCGTACTGCAAAAAAAAAAAAAAAAAAAAAAAAATAGGAATAACTACTCTTAAAGGCTTGACAGCTTTTTTTAAAGCCAGAATTGACTTTCTTTCTTTTTAACCCAGCATGGATAAAATATCAGAAAAGTGAATGAAAACGTTTGGCAAAATCGACTCTTCTTTATCTTGGCCATGCTCTGTCAGTAACTGAGATCATGTCTAACTTGCTGTCTCCTGTATCCATTCTCTGCTCAGGTGTCTGTACCACTCACTGTCAACCACGTTAGCCCACCTACTCAGCCATTTTAAATGAATCTGTCTCAATGTGAGCTACCTTCAAAAAGTAATATATATACTACCAAACGTAAAATAGATAGCTAGTGGGAAGCAGCCGCATAGCACAGGGAGATCAGCTCAGTACTTTGTGACCACCTAGAGGGGTGGGATAAGGAGGGTGGGAGGGAGACGCAAGAGGGAGGAGATATGGGGATATATGTATATGTATAGCTGATTCACTTTGTTATACAGCAGAAACTAACACACCATTGAAAAGCAATTATACTCCAATAAAGATGTTAAAAAAAAAGTAATAATGCTTTTGCTGCAATTTGTGTTGCTTGCAGTTTCTTTTCTAGCTATTCTTTTACCACTATTACGAGCAGCTAGACTATTTAAAATAGAAATAGTATCTGCTTTCACACTCCATCTTCTGGAAAAAGTTGGGTCTTGTATTTTGCATATTTTGTACCAAGCTATGCTTTAATGTCATGTGAGTCAGTTTTCTGCAGATTCAAATACATTTTGTGAATTGATATGTTTTATATTTTTTTTGATAATTCAGCTTTTTATTGTCATTGGAAACAAAAGAGCTAATGACTTTTGGGCTGGTAGTCTTCAAAAAGATGAAGAATTACACGTGGACTCTCCAGTAGAAAAGAGAAAAAACTTTATCACTCAGAAATACAAAGAAGGAAGATTCAGAAAAACGCTTTGGGCATCTCTTACCAAGGAAGAATTAAATAAGGTAACCGATGAAATGTAACAAAAAACATGGATATTAAGGTCTTTTTAAATATATGCCAAGGGTTTTGAAAAAAAGTTAAAAAAATTTTTTTGCTATTGCATAATATTATTGTTTAATTTTATTTCCTTTTGTGAGATTGTGCCATTGTTTTTTTTCCCTTCATTTCACTTGAGGATTCGTTATCAATAGCGAATAAACTTCTGTCCCTAACTGAAGTTTCTATCTGACGTAGTTTCTATCTGACGTAGGCCATTAAAACATTTCTATCTACGTCTATCTGACGTAGTTTCTATCTGACGTAGGCCATTAAAACACACCATTTAAAACTTCGACAATTTTCCCCATTTTAGGGACAGGATACTGAACATAACTTCAGCCAGTACATTGTTGACTTGCTATCACCAAAATTAACTTCATTTACTCAATTAATTTATTTTTAAAAGCAGTAGTTTGTTTAGTGCTATTGATTTGAAGTGTCGTTTGCCTTTGGTTGAGTTATTCCAGGTCTTCTTGTGACCATTTTATGTTGCCCTTTTGGCAAAGAATTTGTTAAGCATCCTGCCCGCCTCTCCTTTATTGATTTTTGTGTTTGTTGCTTGTGCTTTTGGTGTCATATCCAAAAAATCATTGCCAATACTGATGTCAAAGAGCTTACCACTTATGTTTTCTTCTAGAAGTTTTATGGTATCAGGTCTTATGTTTAAGTCTTTAATACATTTCAAATTAATTTTTGTGAGTGGTGTAAGGTAGGGGTCCAATTTCATTTTTTTTTTTTTTTGCACGTAGTTACTTAGTTTCCCAGCATCATTTGTTGAAGAGACTATCCTTTCTCCATTGAGTGTTTGTGGTGAATAGATATTTATTGCACACTCACTCATTGCTGAATTCATTTTTAGGTTCCGGGGGTACAGTTGTAGTAAACAGTAGATGTGATTCTTTTATTCATGAGAGTGATCTGCACGCAGGGGAGATTGACCATAAACAGCTGCATGCCAATAAATATACCACAGCAAATGCAGCACACTGTAAAGGAAAAGAATAGGGTAATGAGAGAGAGAATGAGAGGAAATACGCGGGATTAGATTGTGAGAGCAGTCAGAGGCTATATCCCAGTGGAGGGATGTTAGCTGTTTCACTTTCCAGTATCCTCATTTCGCAGGTGCAGAAAAACTAAGACCCGGAGATGAGAAGGAATTGCCCCAAATCACCTAGCAAATTAGTACAGTCAGGTACAAGAATTTAGGCTTCTTGATTCTGATGTGAAGGAAATTGTAGAGGTTAGCTAGACCATGGTAGAAAAGATAAGTACTTTTTTAGTAGTAGACCCTCTAGGCTGGAGCTGTGAAATGTGTCCTGGGACTTCTTGGTTGTACGCTCTTCTCTGAGCTGCCCATTGGGATAATCAGCAAGTGATTGTCCTGAAGTTGCATTACAGAGAGCAAATTAACCAGTCATCTGTCCAGGTGCACCATGTCAGGAAGGAGGAATATGGTGAACCCAAGGCTAAGAAGTCAGACGGAATCAGGGTGCCAAATCAGAGTTCAGAAGCAAATGGAAAGCCAGTAAAGTGTGGAAGCAAGAAGAGGGGATGGGAAAAGTTGTGAAGGCAGCTTATTATTTCAAAGGAAAAAACATCATGTTCCAGGAGTTTTACTGTTTGTACAATGATGACGTATATCATGTCAATCATGTCTTATTGTGTCTTGCTTGCTGTTCCTCCTCCCTACCTATACTCCCTTCCAAAAGGAAAGATCCTGAATTTGTACACATCTTTCAAATTCCCAAAGCATAACGGTAATTTAAAGATTCCTCACATCCCGATTGCTCTGGAAAATACAGACATACAGACATATATGCATACAACATTCATATGACATAACAAAACATTTAGTGGATACTTCCTTACTACGTTTGAAGTATTGTGAATTTTCTGAGCATCAGCCATTGTCATAGTATGTAAACATACAAAATATCTTCCATGGCAAATATGACGGATTTGAAGATTTGGAACATCACAACATTTGAATTCAACAAAACAATGAATTGAGATTTGGGCATCTTCGGTTGAAATTTAAATTCATGTAGAGCAGGCCTTTTTTTGTCTGTTGGTTAATTCAGGGCATAATGATTATTAGATTTATTTGTTAAAAAGGAATACAGGGGGCTTCCCTGGTGGCGCAGTGGTTAAGAATCCGCCTGCCAGTGCAGGGGACACGGGTTCGAGCCCTGCACCTGGAAGATCCCACATGCCACAGAGCAGCTTGAGCCCGCGTGCCGCAACTAATGAAGCCCATGCGCCTAGAGGCCGTGTTCCGCAACAAGAGAAGCCACCGCACTGAGAAGCCCGAGCACCACAATGAAGAGTAGCCCCCGCTCGCCGCAACTAAAGAAAGCTCGCATGCAACAACGAAGACCCAACGCAGCCAAAATAAATAAATAAATAAATAAAAATTTTAAAAAAAAAGAATACAGACTTCCTCTCATAAATGAATTGGCAGACTTTCACACATTTTAATAGCTAGAATCATACTTTCTTCACTTAAAAATTGTATTTTCTTTTATTGACCAGGCTCTGTGTGCTGCTGTGGTGAAACCAGATGTTCTGGAAACAATGGCTTTGCTGTTCAGTGGAGCAGATGTCATGTGTGCAACAGGTGACCCTGAGCATAGCACCCCTTATCTGCTGGCCAAGAAGGCGGGGCAGAGTCTGCAAATGGAATTTCTCTACCATAACAAATTCTCAGGTCAGTCCCTATCCCTTCACTAGCCTGATCTCTCCTTATATATCCCCAAGAGAACTGAAGCACGAATCTGTTTGTTTCTCAAATCAGAAAAACCATCAGAATGAAAAGAAAATGTAATTACCAAAAAGGTGGATGATGCTTATCAAGACCCATGTTTTATTTCATTTAAAGGGAAAGTTTAGGAAATAAATCTTTTATGTGTCTTTAATTTTATAAATGGGAGATTAAAATAATTCATCCCACATAATTATTTTCACCAAAATTAAATCTGATTTTCATGCATGATTAATAAATACAACTGAAGTGCTTACTTGCAAATTTTATGCCAAGTAAAATAAATATCTCTGTATATTTATTCTGCGGTATATTTGAAGTAGTTTTTCTTCTACCTCAAAACTCACCTACATATTTATAAGCAAAGGGAAAATTGTTTACATTTCAGATTTCAGATGTGTTATTTCTGTAACTTTTCTAGATTTCCCTCAACATGACATACATGCTGAAGGTGGATTAAGTCAAGAGTCCTCCCAGTCGACGTTCCTCTGTGACTTTTTGTATCAGGCTCCTGCTGCAGCTTCTAAACTCTCTTCAGAAAAAAAACTCCTTGAAGGTATCTTTTCTTGCTCCTTTTAGATTTGTTATCTGGTAAAACTTTATTTCATTATCAAAACAATTAGGTTTAAATTTTGATTGTTTTTTTCCCTTAATATGTTAGATTTGATCTTGCGGTAGAGAAATATTTTTTTTTTAGGTTTTATAAATGCTTCCAGGCACAGATATTATTTCATGCACTGCAGCAAAGATTTACCACTGGTTTGGAATGCTGAGTGAATTCTCAGCAAAATTCAGTGACATCTACCTCAGGGCCAACCAATTCTGTTTTCAGGATTTAAGGGTTATTCCAAAGAAATGTGAAACTTAGCCCCTTCCATTCGGGACAGAAACCCTAACTGGGGAGATAATATAGATAAATGTCAACATGTAGGAAGAACTGACAAGTTTTCAGTACATATTCTGTCAGTATTCCATCAGGATGTTCTATCAGTAGTTCAGTTTGTTCTGATGATAAGTGTGTGTGTGTGTCTGTGTAAGTAAAATAAAGCTTAAGCATGGTTTCCAAAAAATGATGTGAATTAATTTGATTTAACAACCCATTCTAGGTTTGTGGCATTAATCTGAGCAGAATCATCATTTATCCACCTATCCATTCAGCTCCTTGAATCAGGCATGTGCTGGGCATTCGGCATACGAAAATGAGTAAGACAGAGGCCTCATGCTCTTGCTATATACATTTGAACTAATTTTAGAAATGTAGGCATGAAACTATAATGATCTCTGTCTCACTGGAGCAAAGAGAATTTAAGAGAGATTAAGCTGTACAGGCCACTTGATGATGGATATTCAGAGGCTTGGGAGCCTGGTTAGTAATTCCCTAGGTGGTAAAATCCAGCTATATTACTCGATCCAAGGAACAATAGGATGAAAAACTCACTGTAGAATGTTAATCTTGATCCTCATGCACTTGAAGTGATTATTTCAGTTAAAGGCTTTATTTCCCAAAAAAAATTGTAACCCTAAGCAGAATTGTACTGAGATTAAGTATACTTTATTAGATTTTCCTATAAACAGTACCTCTCCTTTAGTGAGCATGTACTATGTGTAAGGCATCGCTTTTTTATGTTCATTGTAATCCTCATAAAAGCTCTGCAAGATAGTTGATATTATGCTGATTTCACATGAACAGTGGAGGAACTTGACACGAAGCCGAGTTTTACATCTGATTTGTGTTATAATTGTTATTGTAAAACTTTGGCTTTGGTGCGTGTGATGGCTGGGTGACACTAGATGGCAGAGCATTTTTATTCTTTGAGCTTAGGTTTTTTTTGGTTCTTTCAGCAAGTGGTTTTTATTGTCTTCCTTTACTCAATCTAACCAATAATAAATAACGAATTTTACAGAGATTTTCTCATCTTCCATTGCTCCTTGTCTATATTTAACCCTTAAGTAGTCGAAAGTTGAGTGATCAGGAGGGAAAAAGTATCAGAACAATCTGTGAATTGGCGATAGTCATTATTAAAATAATTGAATAACAAGGCAATTAATGTACTTGTTAATAAGTGTACAAGCTTTCTAGAATGTTTCTTCTAAATTGTAGGATATCTTAGATCCACCCTTCAAACCACTTACACAAAGATGAAATAAGGAATTTGAGATATAAGCTTTTCTTCCTAAAGCTTCTCAATATATCATAAGTACTCTGCAGGCTAAAAATAAGCTTTTATTTGTTTTTTGGCAATTCTGGTTGTAATATTTATAGACTTACCAGTTTGTTTTAATATTTCATTGAAATAGATTGTTTTTCTTAATCACTTGAGGACTGAATTGATGTTTTAAACCTGTAACTAAATCATTCTTTCCTTTTTATCTTTTATAAGTTAACTATGGATTTTTGTTGTTAAAATTTACTTCAAAAAACAGAAACCAGTGCATTCTCCATATATGTAATTTAATTGGGGGTATTTTCTCATTTTGGAGCATTCGGTTTTAAGTAATGGGAAACTGAACTTTTGTACTTTGACCATGCAGCATGCAGAAATGATTTCATTGGAAAATAATCTAATGACAGGGTATTCTTTGATGGTCTTCATTTCTTCCATCCAATGTGTCTCTCATTTAAGACTCAGGTTAGACCATGAATCAGTTGGCTACCCTCCATCTTCACTAACATGGTCCTAGCTCCAGCCACCATCCTGTCCTGCCTGGGCTGTAATACGCCCACCCCCATCCCATGCCCCAACCCCGCTTACTTGCCGGTATCTGCCCTAGCTTCCCTCCAAACCATTCCCCAAAAAAGTCTTAGTGATTGTTGAAAATGTAAATCAGATCATGTATTTCCATCATTCAAATACATTTAATGGCTTCCCATGACAGAGTATAACTCTCTTCCTTATTAAGACCTTAAAGACCTTCTCGTACCTTCCCCCTTTCATCTCACATCCTTCCTTCCTATTCTGCATGCCTGGCCACACTTGTCTCCTGTCTGTTCCTGCAACATGCCATGTTCTTTTCTGCCTCCTCTGGACCTTTGTGATTGCCGTTCACTCTGCAAGGAGCGCACTTCCCCCAGCCTGACTGCTTCTCATCTCTCGGGGGATCAGTTCAGTGCTACCTGGTTGGAGAGACCTCTTTGGCAGCCCACTAAAGAGTGCACCCACTGTCAGCTCTTCTCTTTCACAGTGTGCTGCTTATTTCTATCATAGCACTCCTCGCATGAAAATGATCCTTCCTTCTTTGATTTGTTTCTCTCCCCCTCTGGAGTGAAAGCTCATTGAGGCGTCAGCATTTTCTGGTTTACTCAGGATTATCAAATCTCTGGTGCCTAAAACAGTGTCCACACATAGTAGTCATGTGATAAATATTTGTTGAATAAATAGGCATTTCTCTAATCACATTACTACCAGTGTAAAAGCACAGCTGACTTAATATAATTTTTATTGAAGTATAGTTTCTGTACAACATTGTATATGTTACAGGTGTACCATGTAGTGATTCACAGTTTTTAAAGGTTATATTCCATTTATAGTTGTTAGTTAATATTCTGAACAAAACACTTAAAAATGAAGAAGAAAAAGCCGAACTGCCAAGAAGCATAGAGTTCTGGAGGGTTTTTTTGTTTTTCTTTTCTGTCAAGATTCTGCAGTGGTGGTACTCCTGTTGAGCACCAGCTTTATGGGAAAACTGAATTATTTGGAAAGATCTAGAGATTAAAGGTGGTTGTCACCTTTGCCTCTGAAAGCATCTGGACTGCATAACTCCATCAGGGCTTGTCAGGATGGCCATAGCATAGACTGATTAAAAACAAACAAAAAAGTCAGGGAATAGAATGCATGCAAGTCCTTCAGAGAGTTACAGAGGCTTCAAATTGTCAGTTCAGGTTTTCAGAATTTGAAGTTCTTCTAGACTCTGGTTATGAAGACTGATCTGTATTTTTCTTTTTCTTCCCAATTTAGTGTTCATGAAAGGAAGGATTGATAGCTCTTGTTAAACCGAAGTGTAGAGCTGAATAATAGCATCCTGGTTTTGTTTTCTGTTTTCTCCCCTCAACTGTATTATTTTCCCTTGCTATCTTACCTTGATTTGTTGACACAGCATTTGATTTTTAAAAAGAAAGTGGTTGATACGGTTTACTAGAAATTCTCTATTAACTGTTCATATTTTCTTGTATAGATTAGCATTGAGGAATTTTGAAGGTCTTTTGTTCTATAAATACCTAACTCGTATAGTTTAAAAATGTTTCTCCAAGGCTGTAATACATTTATTTTAAATCAAAAGGATTCCTAGTGTGTATTCCTGTCTTCTGTGAACACTGAATGCCATCAGCTGAGGAAATTCTTCATCAGGAAACAACGTCATGGTTTCAAAAAATAATAGTTTCGTCTTAACTATCATACATTTATTGTGCACATATCTATTTGAAGGTATGACCTCTGCTGTACCCTGATGCATTTTAAAAATGGACATACGTGCTTCAAGCATGTAACAGGCACAGAGAGGCAGTTTGTGAAGTAGATAGAAGGGTAGCTTCCCTAGTTGACTGCCTGGGTGTTACCCCCAGCTCTGATGTACTTGTGTGATGTTGGGAAGGTCAATCAACCAGCTTGTGCCTGTGGGCGGGGTATAAGGAAAGGGGTATGCAGTAATACAGCTGACCTAACTGGGTTGTTCTGAGGATTCAGTGAGTTAATGTGCATAAGATGTGTAGAACAGTGCGTGCCACACACATATGATGATAAGGGGAGGAGGAAGAGTAGCAGAGAGGCGATCCATGTACACAGCTGCTTCTGGTTTCCAGTGAGCCTTTGCATTTAGGTATATCCTACAGGTGGTAGCTGACAACCAAGCTGCCCAGCTCTGTTATAGTATCTACATCACTTTGTAGGAGTATTTCAGTAGGTCACCTCTGGAGTTCTTTAGTTGTGTGTGAGTAAATTCCCGTAGTGTTTTTCTTCCCTGATCTAAATGTCAAGGTTGAATAGAAACAGAGAACAACCCCTCCAGCCAGTACAACCACCATACACACAACCTTGTGTCTAGTAAATACCTTGTGTCCTCAGAGTTGCCCATTCTGTGCACCATCTGGTGAACATCTTCTGGTAACTGATTAAAAAGTAAGACTTCTGTAGCAGAGAGGGTGTCCTGTCTGAATTAGCCCAGTCAGACGAATGCCATCCAACATAATTTTGTTGAAGCTTTTGGTTGCTTCCCAGATGAATAGAAATGTCAGGATTTACTATCACAGCTTTCTTATTGTAAATCCTCAAAGGTAATATCTGTGCCCACTTGGTTTGACCTCTGACCTGTTTTCACTTATAAAAATGAAGCTCATCAAGGGTTATGGTGATGATGCTACAGGATTAAATCTCCTCAAGCCCGTATTTCTAACTTACAGTGAGCCTGTACTCACCTTTTAAAAGAGATCTGTCATTTGTTTCCCACTAGAATTAACATAATTAGATTCCGCATTTACATTTATTTTATGCATCATGCATTTGGCACTTTTTGTTTAAGACCTTCCAATGGCTCCCACTTGTCTGCAGGTACAAACTCCTGAACACCTGTCATGTAAGACTCCTGGGGCCTGGCCTCTGCCATGAGCCTTCAGTCTCGTTTCCTAGGTCCTAACTTCACGTGTAATCTCTTTCTTTGGCCAGGTAGGTTTTTGGCAGTTTCCCCTTTCTATGACTTTCCTCCCACAGTTCTTTCTCAGAATTATGGAATGATTGTAGCTCAGAAAGCATTTTTTGCTGCTTTAGAAACATCCTTTTCAGTCGTAAATGACTATTTCAGAAGCTGTATTTTTGTTTGAAGTTATTTTCTTACCACTCTAGTTTGAGGGTAGCTTCCCTCCGAGAATGGGTCTAACCTTTGTAGGGTCCACCTCAGGATGATGATGAGAGAGACAGAACTCTCACTAAAGTAGAGGCAGTTACCTCCTTATTCTGAAGACCAACTGCTATTTTCTGCCCTTGTGTTATTGGATCTCTTTCTATATTTAATGTTGGTAATCATTCCTTTCATAAATGCTTACCGCTTTCCTGTTTTATACACCGTCTCTTCTCATTTACTTCATTGCTTTCATGGACCCTTCTATATCCATTGTTCCCTAAGTTCCCTAAGATTTTATCCTTGGTTACTGTGTATTTTCAACCACTAGCTGTATGCTAAAGACTTTCTGGTCATTGAGGCCTTTCCTTGCCCTGAAGATGCAAATTCATAGGGTGATCTGCCTAATAGGTGTTCCTACTTGGATTTCCAGGGGATAGCTCTCATTTAGTATATATCAAAGGAAACTCAGATTACATGCACTAAAACTGTTTCTATTTTATTTTCTTGTAGAAAAAAGTAAACATTTCTGCCCACCTTGTAATCAAAGCTAAAAATGATACAACTATTAATAAATTCTCCCTTACTCCCTTCATCCCATCAATACATGTTGTATCCCTTTAAAACACACAGGTGCATGTATGCATTTCTCTCTCCCTTTCCCCCCTCTGTCTCCTGTTTCTCTCTATTGTCCCCCATCCTTTCCCATCATTCCGTCTCCCCCCCCCCCCACCCATTATCCTTAGTACCACTGTCCTGCTTTGGGTGATCTTCATCTTTCACTTAGACTTCTTTTGACAGTGTCCTAACTGGTTTCCTGCCTCCAGCCTCACCTTCTCACATCCATTTTCCACAGAAATGAAGTGTGTAAAATTTAAATATGGAATTTTCTTCTGTTGAAACCATTTCAGTGGCTCACCATCAACTGTAAAATCAAAGCTCAACAAACTTTTCTGAAAAGGGCCAGATAGTAAATATCTCAAGCTTTGCAGGCCAGATGGTCTCTGCCACAAGTCATCTCTGCCCTTGTAGCAGGAAAGCAGCCCCAGAAAATCCATAAATGAATAGGTGTGGCTCTTTTTCAATAAAACTTTATTTACAAAAACAGATGTTGATCTGGATTTTGCCTGCAGGCCATAGTGTGCTGAATTCTTAACAAGATGAATTTCAAATCCCCTAAACAGGGCATTAAGGGCATTGTAGGGTCTGACCCCTTCTTTCTTTGCTCACCTACTTCACATCATCCACAGTCTTACTCTTTAATCCTACATTTTTCCCTCCTAATACTCTGTACAGACATTAGTCTTTGCCATTTCAGAGTTGTTTTGCAGCGGTCTCTTTATGGATCTGCTTGTTTCTCTGGTCATCAGTGTCATAGTTGTTTTTGTCTTGTATGTCCCTGGCTACTAGATTGTAAATTTTTTTGAGAGCAGGGAGTGTGACAACTTTTTATCCCATGCAGCAATATCATGCTCTTTACACAAAATAGAAAATTAATACATTTATTTATTTGAATCCAGTCATTATTTAAAACCACATATTTTAAAATTTGATTTATGGTATAGCTCAATTTATTTTGTGTTTTGTTTTCAATTCCTAGAGACAAATAAAAAGTGGTGTGTTCTGGAAGGAGGCTTCTTGAGTTACTATGAAAATGATAAGTCTACCACGCCTAATGGCACCATTAATATCAATGAAGTTATATGCCTGGCTGTACACAAAGAAGACTTCTGTTTAAATACTGGGTAGGTCTATCATTAAATGGTTAGGAGTCGAAAGTATTTTCTGGTATGTATCATACCAGGTAATAAGGATTTTATTATCATTTCACTTCAGTTGCTTCTTTTAGAAGAGTTTAATGGTTTCTTGAAGCCTACTCATTTTTCAGCTTCTGAAAGTTCCTTAGGGAATTCACTAAAAAGTGGAAAAATTTAAATATTATATTAGGTAATATGAAAGGCTGACGTGTTTGGATCTAATTTTAAGTAAGTTTGTGTCATTCCATTCTTGAACATGTGGTCCCATAATTTTTATGACTTATTCATTATTTAAAATAGTGGACTAATGACAAAATTTATGCTTTCATTAAATGTATCATGGTTAAAAGAGATGATAAAAAATTCAGTGGTTTGTTCATAATAAAATAAACTATTAAGCATATTTAATAGCATATTGAAATACTAAATTCCTTAAAGATCTACTTTGGCATTTTTATGGTCTCAAAAAAGTTTTAATTCAAAGAGGAAGCATTTTTTATTTAATATCTTTGACTTACAAAATAGTTTAATAGGATTCTGTGAGGACTTTTGGAAATTGACCCTCTAAGATCTTTGGTGTGAAAGTTTCTTATCACATTTTGTCATGTAATTAATAAAAAAGTATGAATACTGAAATCTGCAAAAAACAGTTTTATAGGATCATAGTATTTTAATAAAAAGTTTATGTGAGAAAAGGAAGAGATTTGTAAAGCTATGTTATTTATATAAAATTGCATGAAACATATTACTGTTATCACATAATGACCAATATATACTAGTTGAAATGACTGTTGTTTTCTAGTAAATCTGATTTGATTCTTTTATGTGAACAAAACTGGTTATTAGTTGATTTGTTTTTTGTTTTAATCTTAATAGTGCTTTTACTCTAAATGAATGATCAGTTTAACATGGCTTACCATGGAATATTAAGTGCACCCTATTTATTAAGTTGCTTAAATAATTTTACATTAGCATATAATCATATTCAAAAATAAAACATTCTTGATGGAATGTTACTGATACAAGTAGATATGCAGGAGAAAGCATCTATAATGAGATGTGGTTAAAAAAATAATTCTTAATTGCCTTCAATAGCATATTACAGAATTTTAAATCAGTAATGTAGCCACTGAAAAATCACACAGATTTGTATTTTAGGAAGAGAGCTGACTGAAGTGATAAAGAAGAGGTTGGAGGGAGAGAGACTGTAATTACTGAAAGTTTAGCTAGAGGAAGAAATAATGAAAAAGGAAAACAGTGGGTTGAGAGACTCTTAAGATTGAACTGATAACATTAAATGTCTGACTGAATGGATGAAGAGCTGATGTCAAGGAGAAGAATAAATTAGACTCCAAAGTTTTGATCTTGTTGCTGAGGTAGATGCCTCTAAATTGGAATATGAAGGAGATACGGTAGGTTGGGGGTGAGAAAGAGGAAGAAGGAAGATGAGTTTGGTATAAGGTATTTTGAGTAATGGCAGAATATATACTTAGCATGTTCCAAGAAATACTTGGAGCTGTGGATGAGGAACAGAAGGAAAAATTCAGGGCTTGGGATGTTACCCTAATTTTATCTATGGTAAGGAGATGAAATTTTGGCATAAGACAAGATGATGGAAGGAAAATTTGTGAAGTAAGACAAGAAGAGAACTAATTAGAGAACTGTTTGGACAATGTTTGCGTTGAATAGGGGGTCAGAATAAATCAAGAAGGAGGGGTCTGAGAGGGAAGAGGAGACAGAAGACAGCCTTTGTCACATCGGGGCATCGACAAAGTCATGCTGTAGAGTGATTAGTCAGAATAATATTCCTTTTGTCTGATCCAGTGTGTTCCATTTAACTCACTTGAATAAAATATAAACCATCAACAGAAAAATATGGTAGTTAGGGGGTAGATAGATTTCACACCATTATTCCGTTTTCAAAAAGAATTTAATTAAAAACTGGACCTTTCTGTTATTTTTCTCATAAAAGCCAAACATAACCAGTGGTATCTTTTTATTCTTGTGTGCTGTAGGCCCATCTTTACCTTCGAGATCTATTTACCCTCAGAACGTGCATTTTTATTTGGAGCTGAAACATCTCAAGCTCAAAGAAAATGGACAGAAGCAATAGCCAAGGTATTTAAATATTGTTTTATTACCTAAATCCAGAGAAGATTCTTAACCTTCAGAGGTCCATGAAAATTTTATACAGGATTCTGGGAAAATGTCCATACTTCATTAGGTTTTCATATGTTGTAGTCAAAAGAGGTTAAGAACTACCTTCCTAGAGGCTTAAGCAGAGACAAAATTAATGTAGGATCTTGGACAAGTCATTCTTCAAATTAAGGCTGTGCTTTGATTATGGAGATCTTTTCAATGTTGTAAAGTCATTTTTATGTATGTCTTTTTATAGGTAGATATCTTATTCATGGTATACACAAAGGGGAAAAGAACAGATTCAGTAAAAGATATAAATGAAGACAAACATTGAAGGTTGACATTTTGAAAAATGCCACAAATCAACAAAGAGAATGTCTTCTTATTTCAAATCTATATATAAGAAAAATGGCTTAAGATGCTGCCATTTGAAATTGCATTATAGCTCTTCAGTTTTAAGACTGAGAGCAGGTTTAAATAATTGTTTTGCAATCTGGACACCTTCTAAATCTTAAAAATAGAAAAACAAATTTTTCCACTTTCCCTCGTATCTGTAGTTATGTAAGGGATTTCCTATTTCCACTGTCTTTATTACTTTTTTGTATTTGTTTTAACAGCATTTTGTTCCCTTTGTTGCTGAAAACTTAACAGAAGCTGACTATGATTTGATTGGTCAACTCTACTACAAAGACTGCCATGCCCTGGATCAGTGGAGAAAAGGCTGGTTTGCTATGGACAAATCTAGTTTGCGTTTTTGCCTTCAAATGCAAGAAGGTCAGGAGGATAGAATGCACTTAAGAAGACTGCAAGAACTAAGTAAGTGGTTTTTTTTTTTTCTCTCTCTCACTTTGTATTCTGCACACAATTCTTTATTGTACATGGAAGTAGTAGATTTCACATAAAATTGTGATGGCTCACTCCCAAACATCATATGACTGACTCAGTAGTCTTTAAGGGTATTTTGTGTAATGTTGGGGTTTTTTTAACATCTTTATTAGAGTATAATTGCTTTACAATGGTGTGTTAGTTTCTGCTTTATAACAAAGTGAATCAGTTATACATATACATATGTTCCCATATCTCTTTTTTTAAAAAATATATTCATGCTTTTCTTCTTTCCCTTCAGCAATTAGCACAGTACTTCAAAATGGGGAAAAATTGGATGTCTTGCTCTTGGTAGAAAAAGGGAGGTAAGTGCATTTTTGCTTTTTACTCTTTATCTCTCCAGCTCTAGGGAGTTGAGTATACTGGTTATCCGCTTGGAGGAGAACCTATTATTTTGTAGCCTGTTGGGAATTTTCCGAATCGTACGTGTGTGTGTGTGTGTGTGTGTGTATGTGTGTGTATGTTCTCTTTAGTAGAAAGAGTACACCAATGAAGCTTGCATATTTTTATGTTCATTAGGAGAAACTCAGTGTGATCAGTTATTAGAGTTTTCTACAGACCTTGATCCCTTTTCAACATTCACATATAAGTATTTGGAAGCACTTTGCCAGTTGTAAGTATGTTTTCAGTGTAGTTATATGATGGCTATAAATAATACCCTGAATCATGCGTAGCTAAAACCTGATTTCTCGAATTTATTCAGTTTTTCAATAAATATTAAGCTTCTACTGTATATCAGGAACTGTTATAGGTATTGGGGATACAGTGATGAGTAAAACAGATATGGTCTCTGCCCTTATGAAGCATCTACACTAGTGAGGGAAACACAATATAAGCAGACCAAAAAAAATGGCATAGTATTGTGTCCCTTAATTTTAAATGCTTGAAAAAAAATACGGTGAAGAGAGTGCGCCTGATGGAGCAGTATTCTGTTCTCAATAGGGTGGTAAGAGAAGGTATCTTTGATCAGAGATTTGTATAAAGTGAAGAAACAAACCATACAGCAGTCTGAATAGAATGTACCAGGCACAAAGTCAAGGGTATTTTGAAGACCCCAAGGCTGTGTTGTGCTTGGAATGTTCAGGGTCTTCAAGGAAGCTGCTGTGGCTGGGGAAATTTGAATGAGTGACAGTGGGAAGAAATGATTGCGGAGATATCCCTGGGCCAGAACATATAGGGCCTTACAGGCCATGATATGTAAAACTGATTTGAATTTTATTCTAAGCGTGACGGGAAGCTGCTTGATTTGAGAGCCAGGAAGTGGAGTCATCTGACTTATGTTTTTAAATGACTACTGTGATTCAGATGAATAGCTTTTGGAGGACAGGAGTGAAACTGAGCCTCCAGGTAGGATGATGCTGCAGAGGCCAGGCAAAACGTGACTTCCTAATGACATAGTGTTGAGTGTAGGATCTACTGTGAGGGTGGAGGTGAGCAGGTCTGTTGATGGATTCAATGACTCTGAGAGTCAAGGATGACCCCAAAGTTTTTGGCCTGAGCATTTACATAAATGATGAATGGTGCTGTGTTTTTGAGATAAAAAGTACATGGAGAGTAGAGGTAGGACACTAGCAAGTTTAGGGTAGTAGATCAAGAATTTGGTTTTGGAAATAATAATTTTGTGATGTCTGTTTGAAAGCAAAGTGGAGCTGGTGACTGGGCATTTGGATATACAAGCCTGGAATTAAGTGGAGAGGTTGCAGCTGGAGATCAAGATTTGAGTCATCAGCATTTTGACTTATTTATTTAGCCAAGGAACTGGACAGATTCACCTAGAGAAGGACTGTAGATAGAAAAGAGACAAGGATGTAGCCCCAGGGCCTCCAGTTGTAGAGGAGGAATGATCTAGCAAAAGAGCCTGAGAAGGAGCAGCTAGAGTCATATCACAACAATTAGGAAGAACAAATTGTTTTCTCTTGATGTTTCATTGTTTGCTTTCAAATCCCTTAATTACAATAATTCAGAATGTTTAGTTCCACAAGAGTACAGGATCATTTGTAAAAATATATGTAATGATAATACAAAAATATAGCTAAATCAGCCTTCCCTCTGGTGAATTTCCACGCTGGTGACAAGGATAATGACTTTGAGTAGTTATCTGAACCTGTCTTTTCTTGAACTTCATAGGAGAATATCAACAGCTTTAGACAGCAAACATATTGCTGATTAGATACTTATGTCAGAGTGTGTTTTTTAACTTACAAACATAATTAGGATTTTATGTTTTTACTTATTTATTTCTGGACTTACAAGGGTCAATGATGCTCTTTAGATGCTGATTTTCAGTACCAGATGACAGTTATACTGTTCTCTCAGAATCCTGTTACGTACATGTTCAGAAATGATAATGAGACAGTGGATAGTATTATGGCATTAAAGTACTAGCACAAATGTACTTTTTATAGTCATCTATTAATGTTTATGGAATGCCTGCCGCCTGTTATCTACACGGCAGGAAAAAATGGTCAGCAATACACATTGCATGTCTGAGTTCACAGAGCTTATGTTCTTAAACAAATAAGCAAGCAGGAACTTGCTAGTGGAATTTATTGTATTTATTATATGTATACATAATTTTTTCTAAATCAGGTTACTATAGCCAAGGTATTTTTCTATCATTTTTAGTCTATAAAGGATTTGACCAGTTGTACCTAGATTTTAATTAAAATGTACCAAATGTGGGTGAGTGATATTCAATTTTAATTTTTCTTTAGTGCTTACTGCATGCAGTGCACTCCCTCATGAATGCTAGATAAGGAAGCCAGAAGACTAAATGTTTTGTTACTTTGTAACATCTTGACCTTTCCCCTGGGCAACAGGAATCAGGAGGTGAATTCAGATACACTATGAATTCATGGAATAGTTAAAAACTAATAGAATATCAAAATAATGGTCAAAGCTGTGTAATTTTGTTTCTGATAATAAAGTTTTTAATCTACATGTGTTATCAACTAGTTATGCTGAAAGCATTTTTATGAAAGGAACAGAGAATGTGTCAGGAGGAGAGTAGGAGAAATACAGGGACAAATATAAAACTAAGGTATTTTCCCTGGATCTCTTTGAATAGCTGCCATACAAAGGCACCATTTGAAAACAACTGTGTTTATCACATGCTTATATCTTGGTTTCATTTGCTTTCCCTGTTTTCTTCAAATCAATAATATTCAGATAACAATAATACAATGACACCAATGTATAGAACTTACCATATACTAGCCACTATTTTAAGCACTTAGCCTTCCAATGCCTATATGGTATTGAGGACAGTAATCCATTTTGACATCAAGGTAAGGTCATTTTTTTAACTTAACAACCTAAATATTTCTTCTTTTTAAAACAAGTGTTAAGTATTAATTTACCAATACTTTTGTGTAGATCACTCTCAAGAATTGTCATCAAATGTACTAGAAGCCTGGATTAATAATATGGCACTAGAAATTAAAATTTCAACAACTTATTAGAAAATAAAATTTTTATTAGAAAACTTAAAAAGTTATTTTATTAGAAAAATGTATCCATACAATGCTTACATAATTAAAGATGAGGCAGAAAGAAGAGAGGTTAGAAGTGTGAATAAAGAAATCAACCTGGGAGATGGTTAGTGCACTAGGTTGTAATCTTTGATGTAACAAAGAGCCTGCAGGTGTCCAGAGCACCTTGTGTGGTGCTGAACAGGGACCCATATGTCTATATATTTATACACAGACATTCACACGTGTGTGTACATATATGTGGATATGTATATACATATGTAAATAAAGGGACTTGAGATAGGGAAAAATGGAGAAAGAGCAGGTCTGGGAGAGAGCTGGGGAGATAATGAGTTTGATTTTCGACATGTTGAACGTGAAATGCTTATAAATAGCTAAGGAGAAGTTGCTCGGAGGGAGTTATATTTATGGATCTGACAGTCCTGATTGGTTAATGGGGTGGGGATATAGATTTTGGAGTTACCCGCATATAGAAGAAAGAAAGTGAAATCACCTAGGGAGAGTCTACAGAGTGAGAAGGGAAGAAGTAACGTGTGAGAGCCTTGGTGAATACAGGTCAGTTGGAGGTGGGGATGGTTGTCAGAGAGGAATAGCTATCGTGGGGTGTAAAGCTAGTTTACCCAGAGACTGAAGCAGGAGACCAAGAGAGAATGTGGCACCAAGCCCGGGAGGAGGGTGTTTCAAGAAGGAAGGAATAGTCAGAAGTGTCAGGTGCTATCTGATGAGGACAGATACTCCATTGGTAAGTGATGGGGAGTCCATCTGGGGACTCTGTGGAGAACAGAAGTGATAAAACAGAAACTGGATTAGAGTCAGGCTGGGAAAGGGATCAGATTAGATAACCAGTTGGTCTAGGATGTCTGGAGGTTAATAGGATTAATGAAGTAAAAGGGATTTGATCCGGGAAGGGAATGTATGTGCAATTTTGTTTTAGATGGCTTGAACTTGTGCCATCTAAAACATTTTGATGGAGCAGAGATTAAAAAAAAAAAAAGAAGAGTGAATGTATTAGAGAGAGGACAACAGGACAGGTCCCTCAGTTCTAACAGGAAGAAAAGAGGAATTGATGGATGGTTTTGGATGTTGGTAGCTTTCTAGATTTGGTTGTGGGATGTTGAGAGAGAGAGACCAATCTGTTGGTTTTCAACCAGTCTGCTGGTTTTCAGTTGTTTTGTGAGGTAGGAAATAAGGATGACTCCTGAGCTTTTGGCCTGGGTGACTTTATGAATAGTTTTATCACTTACCAAAATAGGGAATATGTACTGTACTTCTCTCCCAGTACTCAAACAAAGCCAGTTAATTATAGATGTAATGGTTTAAGATCTGTTTTAATATCATATAAAAATAAGAGAATTGCATTGCATTGCCCTATTTTTCATGTCTTTTGATCTGTTAGCCCCTTGGGAAATACTGACTGTAAAGTACAGTCGATTGCAGTAGACTTGTCAATGACAGACAAAATTGTGGCTTTAAGACATAAAACAACTTCTAATTATTCACGTTGGTGGCATATAAAGATAGTGAGAATAATTGAAAGAAAGAGAAACCGACTAGCTATAAGTTTTAACCTTTATTTTTTTGCTAGTAACAGCTTGAACCAGAGCTGCAAATCATAAATAAACTTAATGAATTAATTTCACATATTTTCTCTGCCCTTGTCTACCCTTGATTAAAATTTTAAAATATATTAATGTTTCTTAAAGGCAAGAGAATGAACCCCATGAACTAGTTCATAACTTGATAACCATCCAGTGAATATAGTCACTAGATATGTATTTTAATCTTCATGGTAATTTTCTCTATATACATAGCAT